TTTTGCTGAATTTTTGATATTGTGTAGAGGTAGTCCTGCTTAACAAAATTTATCATTGCGCTAATGTTTAATAGCGAACAGTTTTTAAGATATTAATTTAAAACTTTTTTAATATAATACTCTTCAGTATGACGTCACCTGTACGCTCACAGCACCGAAAATGATTACCTACTATCCTTTTCCACTTTCGCTTTGACTATACTCTACTCCTGTTAACATTAAGAAATAGAAAAAGATAGCCATAGCAATTAGTGACAAATAAATAGGTAAACAAGTGTATTGTGTATTATCCTGGATGGGTAAACAACACCTAGCTCCTGCCCTGCCGCAATCGGCAACGTCATGTCATGTTAGTCATATAGCGATTTCATTTGTTGTTTTTTTTTATTTCTTAATGTTAAAACGAGAAGAGAATAGTCAAAGTCGAAAGTGGAAAGGATAGTAATCATTTTCGGGGCTGCGAGCATATTGGTGACGTCATACTTAAGAGTATTATATTAAAAAAGTTTTTAAATGATATCTTAAAAACTGTTCGGTATTAAACATTAGCGTAATGTTAACTTTTGTTAAGGACGACTGCCTCTACACAATATCAAAAATTCAGCCAAATTCCACATAGATCACTTTTCCATAAGAAATGTGCATCACTTTTCCACAAGCACTATACATGTTTGGTTTGACAATGACACTCTTGAGGAATAATGACCATTAATCCCGCTACCCGTCATTATTCCCTGGTGGAATAACATATGTCATTATACTGCCAAAATCACAAGTATAATACTAACATTATACATTAGTCGTGAATAAAATTAATTATTTAACAACTCCACAAACAAGCTACATTCCTCATCTTTAACCTTCAACAAACAATGGCAACGAGGACACACTTGGGAGGCTTGCTTGGTGTACTTGTTGCAGTTGAGGAAATAATTTATGACAGCAGGATCCAAGGTGCTACAGTTCACAGTTGAATTCAAAGAAGTGTGTCCTGTTTCAAGAAAAATATCCTTCGTTGGACATATTATGCGCCCCCCCCCCCAAAGGTCGTGCTCCGTTTGTTTGCCAGAATTTCCAATTCGGTTCCATCAGTTTGTTTTTTTCTCGAAGTCTTCCTTGAATATATCGTCGCATCCGTTCAAGTATACTTAGCTGTTATCTGTTGATCAGTCTAGAGTTTTTAGATGTTTCCCTTACTTCTTGCCTTTGGCAAAATTTGAAAGAGTTAGAGCAAGTTAGAGTACCTAGTACTACACTACTATATACATGGTCTTCGTGAAATGTTGCCGGCGTTGGCAATACTGTCTTCCTTTGCGATGTTTGATATGGATTCATAAAATAAAGTGTCGTAATGCTCAATGGATTTTACTACTGCCAGAGGCTCTTTCCGGGTGACACAACAATATCTCTTCGCAAGAGATTCACTAAAATATCCGATGACTACTTCTTCGTTACTTCAAATTTGAGAAAGATCTGATCCTGCGAAGCGTCAACACACAACACTCAGTAAGTTTGTGTAAAGGTTGCGCAATCTTTCCAAAATCCTCAACAAACCGTTCTTTGGTCTGCTCGACTTTTTCTGGATCTATTTTTGTTTCTCTTGAAGAAACCGCGGTACGGGCTCTCTCTGGATGGCCAAAACTTTCGCTTCAACGCGGTAAAGATAATGGGGATTCGGATTCTTTATTCATTCGAGATGACATGTGGGTTTATACAGACACAAGACACATAACATAACATAAGAAATAATTTTCAACCAATCAGCATTTTCACATAAAATAAGATACTTAAGGTTAAAAGTTAGCCAACGTTCTTATGACTTATTTTATGTTATGTTATATGTTATTTTGTGTATAAACGACATAAGGGATTTCCATAATAATGGGAAGTCCTGATGGTAAAAATCAAGTATAAAGTAACGTCAAAGTAACGGTATGTATTTTTGTATCCAGGGTAACTTGACTATATCAGATGGTTGTGCCAAAGGAACATGGTGAAGAGAGCGGTACGAGATCTACACAGTAGTCGGATTGGTGACCACTTGGGAGTCTATGACGTCTCGAGTAAGAGATCGCATCAACTATCGTAGGGATTTTTGAAGAAGAATGCGAACGTTGCAACCTTCTTCCTCCTTCTCTGAAGAGGAGACCCAAGACACGATCCCGAAAAATAACGACGCAGTTGAGAGAGAGAGAATTGCAGCATTAATAATGCTAGGTTCAAATAGGTACATGGTTGCTATGGACTATTTTTCTAAGTGGCCGGAAGTAGTTCCAATTCCTAATCAAGAAGGGTTTAGTTGTTGAAGTATTACTAGAGAACATCATCGTCAGGGTCAGACACAGGATATCGATGGCATTCCATACCGATCAGGGAAGGAATTATTGAGTCTGAAGTATGGAAACAACTGATGCGATTACTTTGAGTATAAGGTATGGAAAACAATCAATACCTATACCTCTCGATGTTTATGGAGGAGCACTAGCTTCTGGTTTAAGCTCTCAGCACGATACAATCAGCTTTACCATCGATGATGTTAGCTGATGGAAGAGAAGTAAAGCTTCCTGTAGATAAAATGTTTGGTAGACTAGCAGAGCATAACCTACGTGGCTGATCTTCAGGACAGGCTCACACCCAGCAGGGCCGGATTAAGGGGGGGGCTTTGGGGACTAAATAAAGCCCCGGGCCCCGAAATGAGGGGGGCCCCAAAACACCACCTCACACGGGGAAGAAATCATGCATATAATTTTACAATTTCAATTTCGCCATCTATTATCTATCAATTATATCAAACACAACACTACCCTATAATATTATTATTGAGTAGCTGGTATAATTATTGATAGATGGCGCACTATCCGCATAAAAGCTACAGTGGCTAAATAAACCTTTACATACAGTGGCGATAATAGAGGTCCCGCCGCCATCTTGTTCCCAACCTCTTGTTACTTTTAAATATTAATATATAGGATTTAAATGGACATCTATTATAAAAAATTGAAATCGACGTATTTGATGACCATTATTAGGTCCATCAAATACGTTATTTTACAGGATTTATGATGGATGTTCACCTAAATCTCATATATTCATATTTAAAAGTAACAAGAGGTTGGGAACAAGATGGCGGCGTTTTCAATATAAATATATGGGATTTTAGAACCAATCAAAAATAAGACAGCAATTGTCGCCACTGTGGTAATAAAGTCACTGTAATAAAAGCTACAGTGACTTTATACAAGACAGTGGCGACAATAGGAACTTTGATAGGGCCCACCCTCCATATTTTGTCAAAACAAAATTCATAAAACTCATTTAAAACTCCATATAGGATTAAGGGCCAAATTACAATATATTTGCATCTGCAAATTTGCAGTTCTGCAAATTTGCAGTTCTGCAAATATGGCCGACTTGCATATGTGCTCTATTTGCAGAAACGAGCAAATTACAGAAAAAATTTGCAATTTCGTCATATTTATCGGAAAAAAGTGTTTGGGCGCTACTGATTTACCAGTTTTAAATGTCAAAGTTGTCAAAGTGATAGCAAGGACTTGCGGGACCGTTTCACCGTGCCCAAATTTGCAGGCGACTTGCAAATGCATTCTGCTTCTGTAACGAAAAGTCAGACTTGCAGGACCTGCATTTGTATCTTGGTGATGCAGAACTTTTGTAATTCCGGGCTAAATGATAAAAACAAATTCCTTTTGTCAAAACATGGCGGATGAACTACGTAATTCTGAGAACCAATCAAAAATGAGACAACCCACTGTCCTATATAAAGTCACTGTAATAAATGCACCTGCAAGGTAAAGTTTTGTTTGAGTGACGTTTGAATTTATTTCAGGGAGCTAGGGGCCCTTTTTGTGAAAATAGCCCCAGGCCCCAAAAGACCTTAATCCGACCCTGAGACCCAGGAGTACTTTATGACTTTGCCAGAAATAGGTCATTAGCAGCGACAGCATGAGACTCGACATAAGGCAGTCATTGAACACGTTTAATAATGGCGACGCCATCTGATTTGGTTGTATGAGCCACAGCGAAAGAGAGGATTGGGATTGAGCCTGAGCCAAAGATTGCGGAAAGGGCTATACAGGATCGTTAAGGAAGATCAACGACTTTATGTACAGGATTTAACAATAGACATTCTCATAAAGCTAATAAATAAAAACGTAGATAGACTGGCCCCATACAATCAAGAATTCACCAACTAGGTGCGATCAGGAGAAGCTTTTTGTTTCAAACATAAGAAATGGGGCAGTGTTGTAAATCTCTCTTAACACTGCTTGATGACTTGAAAATTCACGATTGGAAATTCTTAAAGGATGTCGTTGCTTTGCATCAGAATCAAATAGGTACTAGACTTCAAAAGACATTTAATTGGGTGTGCCACTGTGGAAGGATACTGAAAGATCTTTCCAACATACAGAAACCTCAGAACCTGTTCAAGTTTAGGTACCGCAATGGCGGGATAACAACTTCTGAGGTAAAAATGTAAAACTGATTGAGCAAAGCTTTTTTGCAGCTATTGCTTGTTAAGTTGTTGTTGGTTATTTTTTCATCGGCATCTTTTTCTTCTTTACCTACCAAAACTCCCAAAACTCCCTGATTAAAGTCCGAACTTCTCTTTAAGAAGTGTAGATATGATATAATGAATCTTCTGGTAATGGGTTTTCTTGCTCTTCCTTATTAGGTAGGTAATTATAGGTAGGGTCCTTGAAAATGGAAATAAAGGCAACGAATAATTTTATGGGATATTCTGATATAATAATGAAGGGAAATTTCCATAGAATACATTAATTAGAGGAATCAATATTTGCTAAACTGTAAATTACCAAATGGTGTGGTGATAAAAACCTTATTATGGAACCCTAAATATTAAAATAAACGAAATAGTTTTATCAAAATTGAGAACCTAGGAACCTCTTTTTATTCGAATTTCGATCGCGCGGACCAATAAGGTTTGCGCGCGCACAGAGCCGGCCTGGCCTGGGAACAAAAAGCCGCGAGCGAAACATTTTTATCCCATAAATTTTCGGTTTGTTTCCGCGAGTGCATCATATCAAATGGCTTCAGACGAAACAATGAGTGAATTGAGTCAAATGAGCGACGATGCCGATCAATTTTTCGAAGGAGTCGAAAAACTATTGGAAATTTGGTTCGCGACGCACGATGCCAACGAGAAAAATTCAGATCTACGCAAAATTCCAAGGTTCGTACTTTATTTTAAATGCCAACGAAAAAAGCCGGTATTTATTTATATAGATGTATTAGGGCATGGTTTTAGACTGAGGTTAGATGTGAACTATTTTGTTCTGCTATTGATTTTCGCTCTCGTTTATTGACTGGCAAGTCACATTCTAAGAGTCAACCCATCAGCTGATTTTTGTTTATTTTATTTTTATTTGAAAAAGGCCCTGAAAGCCGACGAGTTTGGAGGTCTAGAAGCTTATGTTGAGGGTGTATTTTTAATTATAATTAATTGCAATTAACGTTAATATTTCTTTTTAGATCAAAACTGGAATCTCTTTTGAAAATTGTCAGATGTGAAATCATAAGTTCTGTGAAAAATGATCATATTGATGCCTATGTTTTAAGGTAAGAACAAAACAGTTTTCACTAGTTTTCAGTTTTCCTAATCATTACCTAAGTGCTGTATCCCTATGGCTGTATCCTTAAACGTGATACAGTAAATACCTATATCGGATGTCATTTAAGGGTTTTCATTTTAAAACTTGCCACCTTGGCTATAGGGGGTTGAATCTAGGTACCTATGTCAAATCAACATTGGAAAAAACCTAATTAAGTTGTTGATGAGAATATTAAAAGAGAAATAAGTTGCGTTTAGTTAAATCCATTAATTAAATTGCATTCGAGCTCAGATATGATCGCATCCTGCGGTCGGGTTGGTAAGCAGTATCCCGTGGTCGGGTTCGTGAAGGAACCGCGACGCTAGCCCCTCTGCACCAATGCAATTTTGTGAGAATATAACAATTTTGGCAATAAATGAAGCAATGACGTGTTATTCAAATTCAAATATTGATTGAATGGTACATTTCTATAGCTAACTAAATCATTATATTTATCAAAATGGATAAGAAATACCTACAGTGCTTCCTATGACGGAACGAAAATGAATTAAATTTTTTTTCAACAATAAAACAACCTAAATTAGAGCTAGATGGTGATCTAAATTTGTTCTTAATGTGTCTGCTCATTCAAATATCAAAGTGTAAAATCTTATTTGAATAACATATCCCAGGATTTTTTACTGCTTTTCAATCAAAATCTATTCTTCGTAGTCTTGAATGAGTCAAACTTCACATTTAACAATAAAATAACTATTATATATTGGAACAAGTAGTCATACAGATACATTCAGAGGCATATTTTTGGTTCAAATTTGCAATGAAAACTAGAAAATGTTCGTTCGTTCCGTTTGGACTTTTCTATTGAAATTTCAAGAAAAACTATCCTAAATAGGTGTAAAATTGCATTTCAACGACATTTTCTGCGATTTTCAGTTTTTTACAATGAAAATCTATGTGGCATAAGTCTGCTAAAGTTCACGTCTTTTCTGATAAATTATGGAAGAAAACTGTCCTAAATGGTTGTAAAAGGGCAACGACATTTCCCGCGATTTTAACTTCTTTTCAATCAAAATCTATCCTGTGTAAGTTAAATAAAAATAAATAAATAAAATAAATAAATAAATGTTTATTTTACGGGTAAGCCATTTTACAATATGTATAATATTATAATTCGTATCACAGATATAAATGTTTAATTAAATGAAAAGGTAATAAGTAATCTTTACACCTATTTAGCCACAATATTAGATACTATAATCCATTAATCATAAAAAAAATGTACATTAATAATAGATATGTTTAACATTTAGGATATCAGACTGAAAAAATATAAATCACAGATCCTACAATGTATAAAACTAAAAAGGGGTTTGACTAGAGTTATAGTAATTTTATTTTCATTTTAAAACGGTTTAAAGAAATGTTAAAGATAACGATGTGAGAATCTACTAAAACAGAATTTGCGAGCCTTAACATTCCAGAAATGGGGGAATAATAACCATATTTGTTCGGTGATATTTAACACGAAAAAATCTATTATTACGAATATTATTATTGTGTGGAACAATAAAACCAATTTGTGATAATAATTCAGGAGACTGTACAATACCATTTACCTCGCCATTTACTAACTTAAAAAGAATGCACAAGTCCTGCTGATTTCTTCTATGTTTAAGAGTTTGCAAGTTTAATAGTTTTAACAAGTTGTTGTAAGCTATAGAATCATGGGAGATTCCAATTTTGAATGCAATAAATCGTAAAAATTTTCTCTGGATCTTTTCAATTTGATATTTGTGATTCTCATAGAAAGGGGACCAGACAGGACTTGCATAGGTACACGAGGACTTGCCTAATGACAGAGTAAGCGTTTTTAAGTGTAAAGACATTATTGAAATCCTTCAGGTTACAAAGTACAAATACCAATAATCTCATTGCTTTGTTTGAGATCCTCTCAATATGTTCAATAAAGTTTAATTCAACATCTAAATATATTCCCAAATCATGAATGCAAGAAACCCTATCAAGTTCTGTGCTATTAACACATTGCGTGCCGCGTCACCAACATATAGGTGACAGTCATGTTTCCCAGGGGGCCTGTCACCTATATATTGGTGATGCGTAGTGTTTCACTGCAAGCCGCGTCACCGTTCCTTTGGTGACGTTATATGTATTTTTAATGGTCTGTATTCAAGGTGGCTTCCTGAGAAACATTTTCATATTTTTGGTGTGAGTAAATATATTCAAATACTCTTTTTATCGCCAATTTAGTAAAACTGTGAATAAAAGAACCTTGTAATCTCGGTCTTGAACTTTGCCATGAAAAGTTGATTTCCGGGAAATGAACCTATTTCTTGACAATCAAAACCGAGTAAACAAGGTTCGTTTTTTCAGTGCTCCTTATTAAATCCTTGATTGAATCTGCATATATCTGGAATAACAAATACATAATAGTACAGAGATTTTTTCAGTGTCACCAATATACAGGTGACGTGGCTTGGCCTCCGGGGAAGTTTTCCCTATATGACCATGGCACGCAATGTGTTAATGGAATAATTAAAAAATAATGGATTTTTAGATCTGCCAAAGGATATTATTTTACATTTGTTAATATTCAAACCAAGATGATTTTCATTACACCAATTTGAAAAATCATTGAGTTCCTCCTGAAGGGTCAAATAGTCACTAATATTTTTAACAACAGTAAAGACTTTTTTATCGTCTGCAAAATTCAGAAATTTGCAGCTTTTAAAAACAGTCTTCACATCATTTAAGAACAAATTGAATAGTAGTGGAGACAAATGCCCTCCCTGCGAAACACCCGAGGTTACACAAATGTCACTGGAAAGAGAATTTTCGATTTTCACTTTTTGAATTCTATCTGTAAGATTGCTAACTAACCATTCGTGAAAAATACCATGAATTACCAGGAACGCAAGTTTTGCTCCCAAAATCCTGTGGTCAACCCTGTCAAATGCCTTGGAGAAGTCTGTGACAGTCTGTGTAAATTACATCCAACTGATGACCTTCCTCCAAGGCACCAAACAGGGTTTGCTCCAAGATTAACAGGTTTGAAACTGTGGATTTTTCCCTGACAAATCCATGTTGCTTTGGTACTCGCTTTGGTATGATCTTATCAGTAATAATTGCCTCAAAAATTTTTGAAAAAATTGATGTTTTAGCAACTGGTCTGTAATTCTCAATGTTACATCTGTCTCCACTTTTGAGTATTGGTGTGACATGACTTAGTTTCCAGCATCTTGGAAACACTCCAAGAGATAATGATTTATTATATATCTGACATAAAATGGAAGAAAATTGACAAATGCAGTTTTTTATGACATAAGCCGGAACATTATCTGGACCACTACTCAAGTGAGATTTCAACTGTGAAATTTTATTAAAGACATCCATAACCTCGATGTTAATGCTACTTAGATTTACGGTTAAGTCATAGGAGGGATTAAATTCGGTTGCATCATATTCCGCATATACAGACGAAAAATGGTCCTTAATAGTAGGAGAGCCGGCAATATTAACGGGTATGTGATCGTTGCAATGGATAATTTTCACATAAAAGAATAGCTCATAGTTACCTTTAAACTAAATCGATGGCTGGCCTCGATTCTCATGGCCGCAACCCTTTGATGGCTGGGCGTAAACTACCCCTCTTTTTCCGAAAGAACAATGTTATCGTTGCAATAGCTGAAAATTGGTAGATATATTCTTTAATATATCTTCTGAAATAATATATAGGGTGGCTTCGATTTTGATGGCCGGAAATGATGGCAACCCTCATTGAAAGTCGAGGGCACGCGTTATTTTGCTTGCTAAATACAAATTTTTGAAAGTAACAGCCTTCAAAGTTAAAAGAGGACTCTGTGAAGAGGATTTTGCATACAGCTGTAAGTCTTTAGACAAGAAAAGAAATATGAAATTGTGTTAATAATGTGTTTGCCGCATATGATGACAACCCCCTACACCACAAGGTACTTCTTATTTGTTGCGCTTATGGTTCTTGAAGTATTTTTTTATAAAACAACTTTACGGCCAAGAGAATCGAGGCCACCCATCCATTTGGTTTAGAGGTTACTATGAACTATTGTTTTATGTAGAAATTATCCATTGCAACGATCACATACCCGTTAGTATTGCCAGCTCTTGGACTATAAAGAGCTCAGCAATACCAAGTGGTGTGTCAGCATTTTCATTCATGAAAGACATATTAGTAGGAAAACCTTTCGCATTTTTTTTTTGAATTTACGTAACTCCAAAAACCATTTCTGTCCTGTATCTTATCCTCTATGTTATCTAAGTAACTTTGATGGCTTACGTGGGTATATTCACGACACTGAGTGCATATTTGAGAAAAAGTACAATAATCTTCCAAAGAAAGTGATTGTTGGTATGCTTTATGTGCTCCTTTCTTGCTCAGAATTAGATTTTTAAGTTGATCATCCATCCATTTTGGAAACTTTGGATTTTTGTGCCTGTTTAATGGTGTAGATAACTTAATGGCATGATTCAGATTTTTGTAAAATAATTCGCATACTTTATCAATGTCCTGTATTAAAAGCCAGAGAAAAACCTGTTGCAAAATATTGTTATTACATTGCTTGAAGTTATAATACCAGTAGTCATAAGCTAAGTTGACTTCATAGTCCAAACTAATTTCAAACTCAAGATGGGGTATATCAATCCTTGAGATAGGATTTGGACTGGCAGTGATTAAAACATTTTCACTATTGCTAAAGATGAGATCCAAAAAATTCCCATAAGGATTTGGTATTTGATTTAATTGTGACAAACCACTAAATGCCATACAATCTGCAAGACAGTTTGTTTCTTCACTACTGAGTCCAATGGGTCTAGTTCCATCATCATTCTGGATCCATGAGACCTTAAGTCTATTGAAATCTCCACAAAGGAATAAATCTAGATTTTCACATGAGTATTTATCTAGGATGTGAAGAACTGATAATGAATAACACTCATATATTTCTAGCGGTG